CGATATGATAGTAACATGTGAGGTCCCATAAAGTCTCATAGCGGTCGGGCATGCGATCCTTCAGCTGACTCAATTCTTGGTTGGAGGGAAAATATTCCTGATATAGCATTTGTCCCATGGGCAAACCAGAAATCCTGTGCATCTCATGGAGGGCCAAGCCCAACTCCCCTTGCCGTGTCAGAAAAGTGTTCGAATCCGGGTTGTAGAGCCCGCACAAAGCGAAGAAATGCTTCGTGCTAACAGGCAAACCGTACATAGTGGCACGAACGGCTGCATACAGACCACAAGCGTGCAACTCCTCGCTCCATCGGCTCAAGACGTACTTCGTCATGCGAGTCCACCAAAGCTTGTCCAAAGAATGGACCCAACCATAAAACCTGTGGCGTGTCGCAGGCATCTCCCGTCCTAAAACAGCGAGACGATTCTTCAAAGTAGAAGCAGCGGCAAGAAGCTCGTTACGTGGCGGTGCATCTAACCCCAACACTCCAGGATGCAATCCAGTGATGTGACTCCTGCTTGAACCAGGAGCTGCCTGATGAGTGATGTATCCGCAGTGGATGCTCTCATGCTCCTCCGTCAAGCGCCACGACATTTCCCGTGTCACAGCCTGACGCCGGAGCTCAGTCAACGAACGATGCCGAGGAATCTTCGGCAAATATATGAAACCACTGCCAGTCTTATGAAGCCACTGCTCAGCATCAATAAACACGGCATCCGGATCTCTGGCAGAATCGTCAAATAAGAAGTCGGTCTTGCATCCTTCACGAGGGGCGCATCTGTAATCAACTGGCGAAGAGCTCGATGTCCACCTTCCTTCACCACTTGGGCAACCTCTGTCGACGTGCCCGAAGCAAACCGAGAAGTGACTGGGATAGGGGAAAAATCGTCGGAAGTCAAATAATACTCGCCCCGATGCCCGTACACTGCGTGAGATGAGAACGCCCTAGAAGGATATTCCACTGGAAGCAAAAATTTAAACAGTTGTTAATCTCAATCATAAAAGGAAGTTGAACTCATCCTACGAATGGGTAAGACAGAGTCACTGCCTTATAAAGGGTGAGACGATTTGGCCACATTATGCACTTATAAGATAGGGTTTATCGACTATATATCCCTGCCTTATAAGGCACAATGCAGCGTCAAAACGCCCCCTTTATTGATTTTGAGATATGGTTTTGACCAAGCAAAACATATCTTTAAAGCGTCGATCCTCGCCAAGGAGAATCAAGGCTCTTCCCGATTGCCTCGCCAAGGAGAACAAAATAGGGTGAAAAGGACCAATTTGCAAATTTTCAAGAAAAAGTGGACTAATTTGTAAATTTCCAAAAATAGCTCACCAGCATAAGAGGGAGGCGCGCCATCAACCGACGCGGTAGAGGATTGACCCCTCGCAATACGAGACATAGAGACCTGCAAAATAAGTTAATGGATCAGATTCAAGAAAAAGTTCCCCTTTTTTTTTGCAATTCTCCCCCTGAAAGGTGAGCTCGAGGCGCCAAATCTTAATCCTAACCCTCGCATGCGACCCCACAAATTCATAAATTGAATTAAACATAAAATATGCTAAAATGATTGAGGGTTTACCTGAGGAAAAGCTCGCGGATCCAATAAAAATCAGATCTTGAAAGAGGCTCAGACCACGCGCTCGAGGGGCCTGAGAGAAATTCTAAATATGGAAGTTTGGAGGAATTTCTCAGTCAAAGATCCAAAGGAAGACTAGATCTAATGCAACTATGAAGTTTTGAGGGAGAAAGGATGTTCGAGGGAAGAGAAAAGTGAAAAAGAAAGAGAGAGGGGGACCGGCCCTAATGAAGAGGAAAAACCCCTCTTTTATAATGTTGAACCAAGCCCAGTTGAACCGAACCAGACCAAGTTGAACCGGACCAGACCTGGTTTGAACCAGAATTCAAATTGAAGCTGAATCGAGCATCGAAACCACTTCAAATCGACCGAGGGTTCAGTCCTTGGTTTATTCTTGCCTCTCCCACATATTCGGAAGGATCAGGAAATTTTTTAAGCCGAATTACTGCCTTTTTTGGCTCATTATCAAGCCGGTTCAGCTCATTTGGGCACAGAAATTACTCCAATAAGGTATATGAGTATAAACTATTCCCTATTTTTGGGTTGAGAAGTTCCTGGAGAATAGTTTTATAAATATTCTTAAGGATAACTCAACAACACTACGCCGGAGAACGCGTCGCAAATAAAAACTCAACGCCAACAATCGATGGTCAGCTAAAGATTAGAAAATCAGAAATCGACTTCAAGTTTAAAATTCCGACAACGGTCAGACAATAAATGCAGCACCAGAATTCTTACAGACATTCGACAAAGCACCGAATAGCCTGCAGGATTGAAGGAATCAAGAACGGAAGCCATTCCAAGGTCCCGTTACACCGATTGAAGGTTAGGACAATCATATCCAAAGTATTCCAGACTCTTCTATAAAAGAACGAGGCTGAAATACTTTTGAGGGGGTATCTGTAGGCATATAAAATTGCTTATAGGTCCCCTAGCATAGCTCGGCACAAACCGACGAACCAACGAGGCGACGAGGTTAACGAATCGCACGCAAGCAACGGAATACATCCATTCGCGCGTGGGATCAAGCCAACAGTTCGGGGAATCAACGAGTCATTCAAACAAGAGCGGACTCGGACGAATCACGATCGAATCAAGATCAATTTCGGACTCGAACTCAGAAGCGGATTTACTGCCGCTCGGCATGAGCCGAGCCACCTCAGCCCAGATCTGTGCCTAGGCACAGATCTGGGTGCCTATAAATAGGCCAAGGGTGGTTCATTTGAAAAGGTTGGAACTTGGAGAGCCAAAACTCTACCGAATTGAAGATCGAGCTTGGAGTTTTGAAGACTTGATAACTTGAAGATTCAGATCTGATTCTCGGCGAGCGTCTACGTCACAAAAGGCAGGTGTTCGAGAGGACCGGAAGTCAGATCTGAGATCTACACGAGATCACACTCCGGATCAAAGCTTGGCCTTTGATCCCGAGATTTGGACGATTATTTCCTTGGTGAACTAATCCTCCCCGGCTATTATTTCCTTGGTGAAATAATACCCGTCGTACTGCGTAGATCCGACCGGATCTAGATCTCACGGTGGTCCCCGGATAAACCCCGGCGCAGGCAAAGAACCTACAAAGCGAGTGACCGCAAACAGGAGCTCGCGATTTGTTCGATAAAAGGAGAAAGTTGTAATCTTTTTCTTTATTTTTGATTTCGTTGTAACCGGATCTTATAAAAAGACCGGATCGATAAACTATTACAAGAATTTGCAATGGAATCAATGATGAAGAAAGCAACGATTTTCACCGCGAACAGGTAGTTCAACCCCTCCCAAACTGTGTTGTACCAGGAAATTTGAGCGGAGCTATTGAACAGGTTATAGATAGAGGAGATTTTAAGCTTACCATTAAAACAGCAGCCATTGATGAAGTTTGTGAGGTTGCTGACAGATCAAAATTTGATCAACATCTTGTCTCTAGCTCTTAGGAGCTGTCTCCACATCCAGGAGTCCGAAGCTTTGTTTTGTACATGCCATATATCTGATTGGTGTATATAATTTTCGTGAACCCACTTGATCCAAAGTAGATCTTTTTTTATATGGATCATCCAGATGAGCTTAAGTGCAGCAGAATAGTTCCAGTCCCTTGCTGAGAAGAGCCCCAAGCCTCCATGCTTTTTGTTTTTGCAAACATCAGACCAAGAAACCTGATGAATTTTGTTGTTCCATAGGAAGGATGAACATAGACTGTCTATTTTTTCAAGTACTTTCATAGGCAAGATAAAATTACTTGTCCAGAATGTTTGAACACCCAAAATGACAGATTTTATTAATTGCAATCTCCCTGTGTACGAGAGAAATCTCCTCTTTTTCCACTGAATAAATTGATCTGAAATCTTGCTGATAAGTGGGGAACAATCAATGAATGATAGCCTTTTGACATAAGAGGTAACCCCAAATATCTAACTGGTAAAGCTCCCTCAGGAAAATTGAGCAGATTGCAAATCTGGATTTTTAAGCTGTCCTTAACACCACTGACATAAACTGAACATTTTGTAGGGTTGATTTCCATCCCATATACCATGCTGAACTCCTTAAGACAGTTGTGCAGCTTCCTTATAGAATGAATATCAGCTCTAGCAAGGAGGAGAAGATCATCTGCAAAGGATAAGTGAGTAATCCCCAATCGACCACATTTAGGATGAAACTTGAATGATTTATCATTTTTGAGAGTACTCAGCTTCCTAGAGAGGTATTCCATCCCTATAACAAATAAGTAAGGAGAAAGAGGATCTCCTTGTCTAAGCCCCCTCTCCCCTTTGAAATAGCCATGCAATGAGCCATTTAGAGACAGTGAGTATTTTGGGGAAGAAATACATTCCATAATCCAATTTAACATAGTACTAGGGAACCCCAACCCCTCCAGCATTGATTGGATGAAACTCCAATTGATAGAATCAAAAGCCTTTCTCAGGTCTACATTTAGGATTGCTCTGGGAGAGATATGTTTCCTTCCATAGTGTTTAACTAATTCATGGGCTAGAAGAATATTATTAGTAATGAGTCTTCCTTTAACAAATGCGCTTTGAGCATCACTTATCAGATAACCCATGATATTCTGTAATCTTCCATCTATAATTTTTGCAATGATTTTATAAACTAGATTGCAACAAGAGATGGGACGGAAATCAGATGCACTTTTTGGATTCAGAATTTTAGGGATCAAGGTTATAGAAGTTGAATTAAAAGTGCCAAGAAGCTTCCCTGAGTTGAAGAATTCCTCCACAGCAAGATATAAATCTTCCTTAATAATATCCCATGCTGATTTAAAGAAGGCTGCATTAAATCCATCTGGACCAGGTGCTTTGGTTTCAGACATAGAGAACACAGCTTGTTTGATTTCATCTCTACTGACAGGAAGGATCAGGTTGGCCCTTTGAATTGGAGTGAGAACTGGACCATTAGCAATTACATTCATGTCAGGTTCTGAGACATTTGTAGAAGTACCCAGTGAGAACTGGACCATTAGCAATTACATTCATGTCAGGTTCTGAGACATTTGTAGAAGTACCCAGTAGCTTCTTGTAGTAAGCAATAAGGTTCTGAGACATTTGTAGAAGTACCCAGTAGCTTCTTGTAGTAAGCAATAAATTCTTCAGAAATATCAGAAGTGTCAGTGATTCTAAGACCCCCCTCTGTGTATATTGACAAAACCCTGTTGAAGTGCCTTTTGTTTTTCATAATTGAATGGAAGAATTGAGTACATTTGTCTCCCTACAAACTCCAATTTATATTTGCTTTTTGCTTGTAAAAAGAGTTCTCACAGTTAAGCAATCTGGTATATTTTAATTTATATTTGCTTTTTGCTTGTAAAAAGAGTTCTCACAGTTAAGCAATCTGGTATATTTTGAGATACACTCCTTCTCCTTCAGGATCAGCCTTTGATTCTCACAGTTAAGCAATCTGGTATATTTTGAGATACACTCCTTCTCCTTCAGGATCAGCCTTTGATTGAGGAGATCATCACTTATCTGTTTCTGGATATCAGCTAGTTCATCCTTAGCTCTCTTTACCTGCTCACTGATATTCATAAAGTGCTTTCTATTTAGTTCTTTCAAGATAGGCTTCAGATCTTTAAGCTTCTTATGAAATCTGTACATGCAGTATCCCCTAATATTTTGTTCCCAAACAGATTTAACAGCTGGAATGAAGTCAGGGTGTTTAGTCCACATATTGAAAAATCTAAATGGCCTTTTACCTTCAAATTTATCCTCACATATTGTTATTAGAGCAGGAGAGTGATCAGAACAGCTAGGCATTAGGAAATCAACCTGGCTAGAAGTGTATTTTTGTATCCAGTCTTCATTCACCAAAATTCTGTCCAGTATGGACCATATTCTTGTTTCAGCTTCCTGTTTGTTACTCCAACTATAGAAACAGCCTGTTGCCTTAAGATGAGCCAAGTGACTAAGATTGATGAAATTCTGGAAATCAGTTGTATCTGCTTCAGTTACTTGAGCACCTCCCAGCTTCTCTTCACTATTTAGTATAGTATTAAAATCCCCCCAACCAACCAAGGGCCATTTTGATTGAAAGCCAGCATATCTTGCCATAGAAGATTCCTCTCATCCATTTGATTTGATGCATATACCACTGTGATGGTACAAGACAACTTACCATCCTTAGACTCAAGAAAGCAAGTCATTTGCTGATTAGAAGAAGAAATGACCTAGACTGTAAGAATGTCACTGTTCCAAAATAACCATATTCTACCATTATTTGCTTCAGATGAATTTGAAATCCATTCCCAATCTTTAGTAACATTTTTTGCAATGGCCTGCATTTTCCTCCCATCAACTTTAGTTTCTAAGAGAGCTAAGAATGAAAGATTGTATTCATGAATAAAATTCTTAACTATCAAATGCTTAGAGGATTTATTAAATCCTCTAATGTTCCAAATAGCCAAATTTATTATTGAGACCCTCCCCTATATATACAATAGGGATCCAAGTCAGCTTGTTGGTCTAGAATAGAAAATTGAGATGTTTGGATGCAGGAAACCCCAATATTTTTCCTAAAACTTCTCATTGGAATAGGGCTATTCACATTAGTGAAACCAGATGCATTCATTGTAGGAGAACTACTATTGATTACTTGCTTCCCTTTAGAATTCAGGATAGAATATTTCCTAGAACTAGCAATGTTTTTACTGGATTGTCCTATACAGACACTCCCAAGACCAATATCAGATCCAGTTTTGTTGTTCCTGCTCTTTTGTATATCATGTATTTGCCCAGGTTGGTCAATATTAGCATCTTTATTTAGTTGTCCTTGCTGAAGATTCCCAGTCTGAGTTTTACTAGCTGCTAAATTTTCAACATTCCCATCCTGTATAGAAGTATGACAGTGTACATCATCTTTCTGAACCTGCACAGGATTTTGGGGCCTATTGACAGGCATCCATTTCATTTTTGATGTCATTTTCCTGTAAAACTCAGTTTCATGGCCAACAATATTACACAAAGAGCACCATCGAGGCTTGAGTTCATATACAACTTTTTGATTGTATTTAATACCATCAGGTCATTGAACTTCAATAAAATCAGGTAAACTTTCTTTAAGGGGCAAATCAATTTCCAAGAGAACCCTTGCATAACTCAACCTTTGTCTATCAGCTGTGAGTTTATCAGAAGCAATAGGCTTACCAATCACACTGGCAATCTTACTCAAACCAGTTGATGTCCACAGATTAAGACGTAGAATAGGGAACTGAATCCACATTGGGTAACTATAAGTCTGAAATTTATCCATATCTATATAAATCGTCCAAGGTTTAAGAACCATTGGTCTAGCTCCAAAGAACCAAGGACCTGCATCTAAAACTTCCTGCATCTGCTTTCCTGATTGGAAGTCAAATAGGAACATCCCCTGCTTGATTAAAGAAATTTTTGGAATGGAAATTTTTCCCCAAATCTTATTAACATAAGATTCCATAGATTTAAACTTCACATTTAGGCCAATGACATATCCAATTAAAGCATGCTTCCAATAATCCTCTCCCTCTTTCCATTCATCAGCCGAGAATGTAACAGAGTTAGATTTAACAGATTTAACAAAGTTTAAGGATAGACCATTACCATACTTCCTATTATCTGCAAAGAGGCTAGCAAATGTTTTCTTGGAATCCTGAGTGCTCTTGAATCCAACATCACCTTGAGCTACAGCATCTGCTTCATTCTTATCATACTCAGGATGAAGAAAATTTTCAAGGTTTGAATCACTATCCACAGAAGGAGCATTGACCAGAATTAGGGGCTTATTAGTATTATCTTCAGGAATTGAGGTTTTATCTTCTCTAAATCCAGAATGATTCAATCCAGACTCAGATTCATCATCATCTTCAATTTCATCCGCCCAAGAAACTGAGGAAGGAGATTTACTCAATTGACGAGGAATCCTAGATCCAATCAGATCCAGGTGAGATTGATCCAAGCTCAAATTTGATCTAGTAAGAATTTCCTGGATCGGAATTTTCTTTTTAGCTCCTTTTGGACCCGTACTCTCCATTTCAATGGATTTCAAAAAAAACTCCATCGCTCTTGATTCATCTCTAGATTTGGATGTAGGAACATACTCAAAAAGGGAATCTCGAAGCTCGCTATCAATGGTGCCTTTGCTGTTTCTCTTCTCCTTCTTCATTCGTGAACTAGGCGGTGGCGTACGATAGCAGAGAGAATCACCTGCTAAAATACACCATCAGAAAAACCCGCCCATATGCCTTGTTTACACCCTTTAAGCTTCGTTGGTTTCTCCTAATTGTTCATACATCCATCTTGACTAAACCATTCTACTTCATGGACCATTCTATTTCATGTTTCTCCTAATTATACACTAATTACTGTGAATTACATGAATCATTCTATTTCATGTTTCACCTTCTTGGCAACCTAATTGTACACTAATTACACTAATTCAGGTGTCAGTTTTCTGAACTGTTTTCTAGTAATTCAGGTGTAAGTAGGTCATTGAAGGGGTGGTAGTTAGAACTGTTTTCAGCCTCATTCTGAACTAGAAATATATCGATGTAAGGACATAGAATGGGTTGTAACTGTAAATGTTGAGCATCTCTCCATATGTTTACTGTTTATATATGGGTCTGAAGCCATGATACTTGTGGCAAACACACATGGTGATCCCAGTTCAAATTTTACTGTTTATATATGGGTCTGAAGCCATGATACTTGTGGCAAACACACATGGTGATCCCAGTTCAAATTTGTGACTGTCTAATAAGATCTCACGCCATGATACTTGTGGCAAACACACATGGTGATCCCAGTTCAAATTTGTGACTGTCTAATAAGATCTCACGGTTTCTTCTATCTAATAAGATCTACTGGTTTCTATCTTCAGACCAACTTACAGAGACGAGGTATCTACTTGATTTTTGAGTTTGAACTTGTCTTAAGACTGATTCAAACGCGTAGTGATTTTTTTGTCTGCTATAATTCAAACTTGATGAACGTCCTATAATTCAAATACATAGTGAATTTTTTGTTACAAGAACTAGTGTATGAAAAGGTTGTGTAAAATCTTTGTTGAACATCCTATACGGACTTTGTCAGATCACCTGTTGTATGTTTATGTTGGTTCAGTCATGATCTATATAAGAAGCGGATAATTTCCTTATTTCATTTAGTTTTAGTATTTTGGGTTATTGGAATTCAAAAAGTGAGATGTGATCAAGTTAGTTTTACAACACGTTCAGATTATTCTGTGAACCTAGGCTAATTCAAAGGCCTATTAGTTTAGACCATTTGCATTAATTAGTGTACCTTTTTTGCTAATTATATGTTATATGCCTAATGTTTCTTATTGATTTCAAAGGCCATTAGGTCTCAGATTTTAAAGCCTATAGTTTGACATTCATCAACACTATTGGTATGTTACTTGACTTCGATCTTAGACATAAGTGTAGCTAATGATCAGGTGCCAAGTAATTGGGGCTCTAGTGGTTATGAATCTGTCAAAGTTCTTCCACTTATAATGCTAGTTTTGGTTATCTACAAGCTACTTCCAACATTTCTGATGATTAGTCTTAAGAAAAGAACTACGATACGATGAGTGATAGTTTCATTTTGCTTCTAAAAGAATGTTAAGACTTCATTTTATAGGTTTTTGACATTTATATTCTACTTATTTGAAATTTTTTTGAATTAATTTCAGGGTGCGAGATTGATGTTTTGATGGGCTCACTAAAGTCAAAAACTAAGGACTTCGGCATATTCTCTCTCTCTCTCTCTCTCTCTCTCTCTCTCTGTGTGTGGTTAAGATTCTCTATATGAAACTGATTGCAATAGAATTTGTTGGTTAAGATCTTCTATATGAAATTGATTGTAATAGACTTTGTTGGTTAAGATTTTTTATATGAAATTGATTCTAATAGGCTTTGTGACTAGAAATGGATTATATTTTATATTAGGAATATCATGACATTTACTTTAGAGTTGTTTTCTTGAGTTAAGATTGTGCAAACATGTTCGGTCACTTGTAAATTTTTTAAAAATATGATAGAATAACAATTTAATTTAATTATTTATTTGTAAATTATTTAAAATCTAAATCTAATTCCAAAAAGTATGAATTAAAATTATGTTGCGATAATTTTCTTCATCTTTTTCTCAGAAAGGTAACCAAACAAGAGAAAATAAATTTCTTATGAATTTTCTTCTAGCTTTCCTGACAATATTCTTTCTAACCAAACAATAAAAAGAATATCATTTTCTTTTCTTTTTCTTTTCCTTTTTTTTACTTTCTCTTTCTTTTTCTTTTCTCTCCCTTTCTCTCAAATCAAACATAGCCTAAATGAATTTCTAGTCGGTGCAACGACACTGGAGAGGTCTCTTTTATCGCCAAGTGCCGATAAGGAAGGTCACTAGAATAAGGATACCAAGGAGTTCTTTCAATGATGACTGATACTTCTTCATTGATCACCATTCCAGGTTTGAAGCCTACAAATTTTAACTTAAATGTAGGTGAGAGTTTGCAATTTTAGTATATTTTCTGTAGTGTTGGCCTTAACTCTTTTTGTTTATAGTTGATAACTTGGTGGATGATGGGCTCAAGGAAAGAGAACCTCCTACTTCCGTGCCCATGGATCATTGTCCCGTTTTTTCCTCAGTGTTGAACAGGGAGCCACCAAGCACCACCCCCGCCTTTTGGTGAGTTTCGATTCTCAAAAGTGTCGCTCGTTAGTTACTTAGGGTGTCTTCAATGTCTCATCTTATTTTTGTCTGCTCTTTACAAGTGAGGTACAGCCATAGGATGATTGTCTTCCCATTATGGCAGTGCCTCATTGTCATTACCTCGGACCTCATCCGCGAGTCTAGATCATAGGTAGCTTTTTGGTCTTGCATCTTCTGTTTGTCCTTTGGTTTAATGGTGCTAAGTCCTAGGAATATCTGAGCAGAAGGTGACCGAAATTCACCTATCCTTGCCTGAGTTAATCTCTTTTGGTATGTTTTGATACACTAGTAGAAAAACCACTAATCTAGACAGAACAACCTACACGGAAAAAATTTCCATCTAGGTTGAGTCAAACTAGACATAAATT